ACCATAGTATAAGCTTTTTCAAAGTATGCTGTAGGCATTCCTATGTTCTCCTTGTGTAAGTCGATGTAACTACCATTAATGCATATGGTTCCATTTAATAGAGCATTAGTAAACACTTAGCATATATTAAGCAACAACATGGTTTTCACAGTAAAACTGATATTTTCAATTCAATCAATAAATTTAACATATACTCGCAAACACACACCTGACAAAACTATTTGTTATTGGCTATTGTAATTCATATATACAAACGACTGTATAGCTATGAAAATCAAATCGTCAGTAAAAAAAATTTTCTTCGCTGAAATCTGTTTTATGCCTCAAATGGGGATTTGAGTAGAGAAAGAACAAAAATCGGTGCAGAATAGCGTGAATCGATTTTATTTCCTTGGTTCTCATCAACTGCACACAACCTGTAATCCTTAATAAATAAAAGTTGTTGAATATGAAGTGTCTCTGTCTGTCTGTTTTCGACATAGAACTTTGCACAAATGTGCGGAAGTTCAAGTCACCACACTCCATGTAGCACGCGAAGCAAGAGAAGAAAGTACAAGAAAAGCATAATAGAAACAGTGAGCAGAGGTGTGAGACAAAGGAGGAGTAATAAAGAAAAACAAAACAGTTTTATTGGAGATCATAATACGAAGTGTACATTCATAGTACATCTTAAAAGGAACTCTTTCAGACTAATAACTGGAATTCAGATGTCGAACTGTTTTTCTAGTATCTGTTGGCATATGAATTCCACAGTCTCCATAAGTGGTACATTGGTAAACAGTGATGCTACATCTAAGGATAGCATTTGCTTCCCATTTACATTGATATCTACGTTAGCAATGAATTCAAAAACGTCTTTAACACTATGATTTACTACCATTTTGTGTATTGGTTGGAGGAGTTCACCTAGCCACTTTGCCACTCCATGGTAGGTGGAATTAGATATATCTAGGACTTGGCGCAGAGGAAGTCCTGGTTTATGTACTTTGGGCAGATCATACAGTCGTGAAGTATTACTTCCAGTAGGCTTAAGACAGTTGTAGGTTGCCTCTGAGATTACTCCACTTTTTCTCAGCTCCTTAGGCGTGTTGGTTAACTGTTTTTCAGCTTTTCCGTCTATATCTGTTGGGTTGCTAAGCTTTTGGAACTTCATTTCATCCGCCAAAAGCGAATTCAATTTGTCAACATAATCTCACTTATTCATCAGTACCACTCCAGCTCCTTTATTAGGTTTACTGATTATAATATTTTCGTCGTTCCTTAGCTTTCTTAGGGCTTCTCAGTGCTGTTTAGTCAGCAAACTTTTACTAGAATGACTACTGTTTTTGTACAGCTGACAAGTGTCGACTAGTGTAGTTTTAAACCTAGCGACTTCATCGTCTGACATTGGGATCAAATCTTTTGTTTGTAGGAGGAGGTTTTCAAACTGGATATCGGTGTCAATTTGGTTGACCTTATATATCCCTGGTCACAAAATCTAGGACTCACTGACAGAGCCTCTAACTGTAATTTATCTAGTGTAACACTTGAAAAATTATGGACGTACCGACAAGGGTCTGAAAGGAAATCCCTTTCAGGATTTTGACTGTCTAGTGATTTGATAAATTTCGTTATCCTTTTCTCTGCTCTGTTTCGGCTAACTCTGTCGATATAATCCTTGAAATCAAATAATAAATCCTCAGGAAGTTCATAGACCGCAAATTTCTTCTGTAATAAATTCCTTTCAATGTCCGAAATGTGAATTTTTAAAGAGTCCAGTTGGTTAAGTGCATAACGTTTCACTGATCGCGAATTTGAATAAACTTTATTACGGTAACGAGATTTCCAGTAAATTTTAGGATATCGATTATTATTTAAACAGTCATTTATAAAATCTAAACATGTTTTCGCTTCTGTAAGTCTGGCATTATACTTCAAGTTCTCATTGAGCGCCTTTAATGCACTGGGATTCCCACGTGATTTCAAATCTTTGAAAATATTCCCATTTTTAATATTAATATAATAAAAGTCAGCGTAAAATTTCACATACTTTTGTCATCAACAAGCGTATTATAAGAGTGTCATGGCGAGATAAAACCGTATGAGTTCTACTCACCATATTACATCGTCATCTTTTCATGTGACTCTTTTGCACACAAAATTTTGATCTTCTCTTATCTATGCAATTTTTAATCCTTTTTGTTACCACTCTGACAATAAACTTGTCAATTAATTTTCTAGAAACTTCTCACTAATAAGATATATATATTTACACTTCAGGTACCTTATCATCCTAATGTTTTATCTCCCCATGACACTTATAATACGCTTGTTGATGACAAAAGTATGTTAAATTTTACCCTGACTTTTAGTTATTAAAGATTATAGGTTGTATGCAGCTGATGAGAACCAGCGAAATAAAATGGATTCATGTTATCCGGCACCAATTTTTGTTCTTTCTCTACTCAAATTTATAAAATGGAGTTTGTATATTAGTGGGGATTATCAGTTTACCACGTTTATTTGCTAGTAAGCTGAATACTACCATACTGTAAATCTGACCCACAAGGAGAAATTATTTATTTAACGGCAGTTCAGTCTTACAAAAAAAGAAAAACTCTCATTTATCCTGAGGAGGCATAGATCCGGACTTCAGTGTGGTTTATAAAGGCGAGGTATTTTTAGGCCTTACTGGCTGTACTGAGTAAAACCATGTGCAAAAGCCGTTAAATGCAGAGGACACTTGGAGCAGGATATTGTCATAAACAATTATTTAGTGAATTGTTAATACATCGATACAGAAAGACACCTAGTATATACATTAGCCCGCATAAACGACCTGGCACGGTTGATGGTGGGTAGACTTCGGTCTTTGTCTCGAAATACTCTCATAAAGCCACTCGTTCAAAGTCCATGCCAGGTGAGTCCAATTCACTGTCTTTATGCGTCAGGCATATTCCTCACAAAAGTTAAAGGGAGAATTCGAACGTCTGGAGCTTATAATGGGATTGATGTACATTCAGGTATACCAAGAAGAGCTGGAAAACCCTGATTACAAACCTACGTAGGCTACAGAATCCGAAATGATATAATAGCGTATGGACCTGGTTTTATCACCGGAAACCACGTGAACGCAGCTCCACTGCCTTGTGAATTAAACTTCAAGTTCAAGGCTCAGAGATGGCCCCTTAAAACAACCACCTGCTTCGGTTTGGACAGTAACTTAACCCTCGCACAAACTATGAGATTTTTTGTGGTGCATCTCTTGGCCCCCTATATTTTTTTATTATAGCTTGATTAGATACAGTATTTTAGTACAAGTGTGGTGAGAGCTGCCTGATAGCCAAAATCGGTAGACAGCAATTTACGTCAATGCTTACGTCCCAAGTCTTGGTCGTGAGAAAAACAAGAACAAGTGCTTTGCGTGGGCGGATATAACTAGCAGATATATGGTGTGACCTTCAAAGAAACGGCCACAAAGCGATGACAGAATAAATTCTAGTGAGAAAATGACCAATCAGAAGACGCTGTTTCTCTGTTAATAATAATAAATAATAATGTACATAAAAATATATAAATATTTCTGATTTCCTCAATAGACGATGTTGCCTGGCTCTTATATTCTGTAGTTACACAAGTATGAAATTCTCAGCATGTGATATCGGTAGTCCAAATTTTGCAGGCCGACCACTGATATCGGGTGTGCGTCGGCCAGGGATCGAACCCCAGACCATGTTCATGGTTGGCGAGCCTCCTAACCGCTGTGCCACTGACGCTAAGTTTGTTTTCATAAAATAAAATGAATATCGTATATTTGAATGAATGAGTCATATTTGTATATCTAACTGCCTTCTAATCAATCATACACGCGTAACTGATTGTGTCATGCCAGTCCTATCAGCTATTCCAACATATATAACAATGACTAATCTTTTACTTTTATTAATACTCCATGTATGAACGCCTGATAAAGGATATAAGCTAATTGTATTATTGGCTTTTGAACAAAAAACTATGACCGACATGTTAATTCAAAAAATTACAATTACAATTTTTGAAAGTCTTACCTGAGAAAAGCTTTTACTTTATTTGAAAGTAATGTGAATTACATACAAACAATATTTTACACATCTAAGAGCCTTTATTACTACCGTATACCTCCCCTATGATCCACATAAAGGTGTTCGGTAAGGACAGTTTTTTTTCATTCACGTTCCCAGTGGAACATAGGGCTTCAAGCTAGTGGCTTGAGGTTTCTGTAGCAGTGTCTCATTTACAGGACGGGGTTGCTAGCCTCAGCCCCAACCTTTCCTCTTTACAGCATTATTTCTGGTTTAGCGAGGCAAAGGAGTGTGTCGGCCGGGGATCGAACCCCGGACCATGTGCATGATCGGCGAGCGTCGTAACCGCCCTACCACAGACGCACGGTAAGGACAGTAAAATGTATGAAGATAAATACCAGTGAATTATAATACCCCCTCAAAATACTAGTGAGTCTTACATGAGATATGAACTAAACTACCGGACGGATGAGACCTAGTTTCACCACCTAAATTTCACTGCTTTTTATAAGTATTTTCAAGTTATCACATTTCCTGGTGTTTTATATCTAGACAAACTAACAATTACGAACACTACTGTAACAGCAGAAGGCAAGACACAGAAGCCAGGATACATTTTCAAATGATGAAACAACTATTTACAGCTATACAGTTTATATTCTCTAACCAATCACTGAGGGTGTCATTTTGGCTTACATTGAACGATATGAAATAGAAAGATCAAATATACATACTATTCTGTTGCTAAAGCACTACTGAATGTGAGAATAATATTCCGTCGGAACCCAGTATGTATCACACTACCACACTACTAAAAGCCTTACTTAAGATATGAATTACTTCAACAATCTAGTGCCATAGTTAGTATGCAAAAGCTCAGATAACTCATGGTAATAAAAACACTAAAAAATACATAAAATTTACTTGCTGTTCATTTTTATACTGACAAATTGCACCTACCGATGTCATACAACAACGTGATCCATACAGTTATATGTGGAAATACTTCATGGTACTTGATAACATTAGATTTGATTAGACTGTTCGCATACTTGCAGAATAAAATTTAGTCTGTAACGTAAATATTACATCAAAAGGAAAAGCAAATATTTGCACATACATAAGATTTTAAAGTCAAAGCACAATGAGATATAATTCCATTATGGGTAAAATTTATTTTGATAAAGTCTCACAGTGTTATAAATTAATATTTATTGATGACGTTTTGAGCACAATTTACTGCTCATAATCATATCAAAGTGATATGATACGTTCAGCGGAAGCTTTAATATGAATTGAGCTTATTTGAATTCTCAACTAATGATACGTCTGTCTGGTCTAAACATAGAACTTTCCACCGGTGTGCAGTTGTTCGAGTCGACACACCCCATGTAGCACACAAAGCAAGAGAAGAAATTCATAATAGAGACAGTAAACAGAGATATTGGCCAAAAAGAATAGTTATACCCAAGAACAATATAGTTGTATTGGGTATTGTAAGTCACAAGGAGTGGATGCATCCGCACCATCATTTAGAACGATTTTGAGCCAGCCACTGGTGTTTACCGTCCCGAGGACCCTAAACATGAAGTCTACATCTTTCTACGTGGCTTAAACTAACTGTTGTGCATTGTATTGACTGTTGCCATGTTTTGGTTTGACCACCGCTAGCTCTTACCCAGCCTGACCCTATATCAGCTAACATCACCCATTGTCGAGGAAGGCGATGGCTAGGCATACGTAACACATGTCCTAACCATCTCAGTCGATGTAATTTCACAACCTCGTCGGTTGACTGCCCCTCCCTATCTAGTACTCGAACGACGCCTAACTTCAATATTGCTCACCCTATTATACCGCCTAACACACACGGGAAATAGAACGCAGGCACCTGTGATTAAAGACAGCTAGCCTTTTCACGTCTTCCACTCTCAATGACCACGTCTCACAGTCATAAAGGAGGATGGAGTGGAGTGCTGAACAGTACACATATCCTTTAGGTGGTAGCCGGATATCACGTCTACGCCAGAGACAGCGTAAACTGGCATACGCCCAACAAGCTTTCTGTATCCGTGCTGAGATTTCGTCAGCGATCAACCCGTTAGCACTGGTTGATGCAACTTCCCAAATAAGCGAAGTGGTCAACGTGCTCTACCACTTCATTCTCCATTTCTAAGCTAGAAATGAGCGTAGTCCAGTCCTGTAGCACTAATGATATAATTGTGTCTCTTGACAACCTTTGTCATGATCAGTTGAAACGACCACAAAGAGATGTGAGTGACGGAAGCGAAGGAAACATAAGAGATCAATAATAGGTGGTATTCCGACCGATAGTTCCTAATTTGTCGTGAAGGTCGGGTTTGCATGTCACAATCATTCAACGGGTTGTAGTGGCTGAAGCTGATGTTCCTACAGGTCTTACCATGCCAGATAAGTTACTTCGATGACGGTTAAACTAAAAAAAAAAAGTAGTGCAAGTCGTTTACGCTATGTTGCAGGTCTGTGGGCAATATCATATTGGCAACGAATAGGGATGTAACATCAAGAAGGACCTCCTTTGGATGACTTGTGAATGGTAATGTTAGTACTGTAACCGTAAATAGGACTCTAAAAGCTATCTATTATCTGAAACGATGCAAAGTAGCGGGACCTGGTATAGTGATCCTAGAGGTGTTGAAGGACGATTGTCATGAGATTTTGTATGGGTTAACGAACATATTATTAGGGGATGCACGGGAACTAGAGACAGTCTCGTTCGACTGGTGTTAATTACCGACTATACCCGTTTATAAAAAGGTGGATGTCTTCCTGTGATAATCACAGGGGATCAGCTAGACTAAATAACCAGGTCCGATAAGTTTGCGTAAACTGAGCGGCGCTGAGGGCGTCCGACCAAATGTCAAAAAGAGGGTGCACCGATCATGTCTTCGCCCATCAACATATTCTGGAATATAGACATACAGGTTTCATACATTTGCCATATTTCTTGAGCCGAAAGCAATACTTGACTCAATCAACTGAGGTCCTACAGCAATGTCTGGCAGTGAAAAGGTTACCGAAAAAGTACATCACAAGAATCAATATATTTTGCTTGAATTCAAGCAACTATGTAATAGATTACGCAGAGTTGTCATCTGGAATGGTGTCAACTATTGGCATCCGTTAGAGATACACATCATCTTCAATTTGTTTAATTTCATCACAGGTGTGCCAATGGATATGAAATCAATCGACTTCAGCAACTAAGTGACTGATTCGTTACCAGGGTACAGCCTCGTAATCTTGGAGCAGATGGATTCACTCACTGCAACAGTCCAGATCCATTGAAACATCATATTTCTTCCTCCTGTATATCTTCGCTCATCATAGATTTTTCGATCTTTTTCTCTGCTTTTGTGCCTCAACCGCTGCACATCTGTGCATAGTTCTACGCTGAAAATAAGTCAGTCTCATTAGTTAAACGGGTTTTAAAATAGCTGTGGTAACTGGAATGATTGATAGAATGCTTGGAAGAGCGATTCAACTAGCATATAGCTCCACACACTTCCGCTAGCCAGTCCCAACCTGCATGAAATGAAGACAAGGGTTTTCCAACAGCTATCCCTAATCTAAAACGAGGCAGAACACCAGAAAATGATGAACTGACTTGGGAAGTGCATAATGAAGTCGTTGATGAAATATTGGCCAGATTAACTGAATAATTTACTTTAATTAAAAATTTTGATAATATTCACACCAAGACGCACACAGTGACATAATAATAAGGCAATGATATAAGGAGAAACAAAGGACTTGATCAACAACAAAATAAAAGCAGCTAAGCAAACTTATCTACGGTTTTCTAGGATGCTAGCTAAGGCATAGCAACCATGGATATTTTTGCCAGATTATAGGAACGGAAACAAGTCTTCCCGCCATATTGACAAGGAGTTCGTGAGCTAACTAAAATGGTGCCTAAGATTTCACGTTCTATAATGCTCCAAAGACTGCATATTACTTGCAGAAGAACAAATCTGAGAAAATCAGGATGGATCAGGGCATGGACGGGGATGAACTAAAAAAGACTTTCATACTTCAGCAGTTTCTTGAACGCGTATACTTAATGTCGTCCAACACTTGCCAAATTATATGATAGCCAGATTACACATGTGTCGGAGTTTAGATACAAAGCTACTGAGAAAAAGCGTAGCATGCCAACCACTGTACTCTACTAGGACTAGTGCAATCATGCAGGTTTAATGAGTACTGTCGCCTAAATGGATAAAATTGACGGTTGGCTGATGTCAGTTCTTATTTAATTTTATTATGATCGTACTCATGGAGGTGCACCCGTTTGACTCACACCTCAAATTAACTGGTAGCTATGTGAATTACAGTTCCCAATTAATACAGTTCACCAACGTGGAGATGTTGACGAAATTCAGTCATCTGAACGCGGTACACTAGAATCTAGATGCTTCTGAAATACAATTCACCTATGTTAAGTGTAATGTGATACTATAAGACTGGTGTAAACAAACATCATAAGAATAGAAAGTTAATCGATGACATTTCTGATCGATACTGTTTGCCGCACCTAGGTCGAACCATGACGAGTAAAGACATATGAAATATGGCCACGCTACAAACACCCTACCAGTGATAAGATAGGAGTACGGGACCAATTCGTGAAATAATCAACCATTAGTCTGCTCACTTAGAGAAATATAAATGTGTAGGTGAAGTCCTATAGGAACGCAAAATGTTGGTGATTATCACCATATATGCCCCTTTTATCTTTAGAATTCCGAAAATGTTATAAAACTCCACATAATGATTCCGTTTTGAACATTTTGCCTAGCCAGGCTATTCCACACTTCCTCCATGTTTTATTGTGTACGAAGATTTGTTTTCGCTACGGAGTTGCAGAGCTCCATGTACATCAAGCACAAATCCATACTAAATGAAGTGTCATGAAGTCTAAAAAACATTGAAATATCAAGCGAATAACTACAGCGTACAATGTAACACTTAATTTTACAACAGTAGCTGATGTACTTCATTCAAGTTACTAGCGGAAATGAGACAATTTCAAGGTTTTTAAAATGAAGTTTTTGCGCACTACTTACGTTAATTTTTTTCCTTAAAGAATAAATACCGCTATAGCAGAACAAAATAGTATCCTCTATAATGACTGCCAAACTTCACAACGTTGCTGTTTCGCAGACCTTTCTAATTTTCCGCTAATCCTGACTCTACTCGAGGTCGTCCTTCAATTTCCAAACACACCAAATATTGGGCTGGACTTATTTATCACGTACTGTTGAATTCCGCTTGGAAATTCTTTTTTTGCCAATAATTTTTAATAAAATTGTGTTATATGTTATCTAGATTGAGGGAAATTCCCATTTTTTTGCTAGTTATGTTAGTGTCCGCGTCATGTGATCTGACTGCGACACACCTTTAGCATATTGGTTGCAGTGATTAGTGTTTCAGGTGGAATGTATCAAAATACCGTTGTAATAAGGAAGAAAGGATAGTTAGAGGGTAATGCCATTTACACCACTCATTTACTCCATGTAGAACCTGCACCTCTCGGCATAGTATCATTCAATGAAGACTTCATGTCTCAGGATATCAATACAGCCTATTTTCGTGTGAACAACAGTCTTTTTTGACAAAATAATTCTCTCAGTACTTAGAAATCACCAGCAAATATTATCAGAATCGTTTGTGGAAACCTACCTTATCATTTAGATGTGCTTTTCACTCTATCTGTGGTTGGACAGGAATTATGGTAAGTGAGAAGGTTACCTCTAAGTGGATTTCATATATATTGGCAGTGATTGGTGCAGTTTACTATGGGTTATGTGAATTAAATGTACAAAAATATCTCAACTGTATTAATATTGTGCCATCGTCAACTTAGCTGACTGATAGGATAACAAACAAAGGTGGTTATCCACCTTCCTAATCGTGACAATTGTCACGATTATTGCAAGTACAATGCAGTGGAGAAGGCAATTACTCGTGTAAATTTCCTTGTTGTTCCAATTAATGCACTAAATCATTACACGGTATGATTATACGCATGAGTCGTGGTGATTATGAGAACTGAATCTATTCAGCTTTATTATCATTAATATGAATGTATTCTCTTTTACAATTTCCAGTGACTGTATACTTAATGCTACAATATTTTTGATCACCGATAGTAGAGATGAATTTCTTCTGAGATTTCCATTTACACAAAGCAGTACAGATACGGTATCACAATTGAATTTTTTAGGTTGCATTATATGACATTGTTATCCTCATCAACACAACAGGTCTGTGTATTCAAAAATAGTTTAAGTGTTTCTATTTATGTATACGACGTCAACATAAAAATCAGCTGTAGCCTACAAATACATTTATCTCCATGAGATATTACTTAGTGTTAATAGAATCATTGTATTCATAGTATATGCTAATATGTAGAATTATCTCTTGTTAACTTCATGTTATGCTGGTTCTTGCATGTACTTTATTTTTTACAGGTATACAGAGGTTGTCGAATATGAAATCAACGGAAATATCATTCGGTCAAACTAAAGTTAATACTCTTCATCAGAACTTTCTTTTGTAAATTAATCAAATGTTTAATATACTCTTGATTACTTCTTCCTGTAGACTTTTTCAATTCCTTGCTATACTATGTGCTTTTGTAATAAGTGAATTAGGAATAATTAACGCTAAGCTTAGTCAGTGGGATGGAGGTTTACTATAGTATTATGAGACTGTTACTTCAGTCATTAATGGGATTTCGTTTCTGTTTCCACACAACAGCACATTGTAAATGCGAAATGAGATTTAGCAAGTTGAATAATGATTCTGTATTTTCGATACTCTGAAGTCGCCTTATCTAGCCAGTTGCAAGTCTGTATACTGCTAAGCGCCAAGTGTGTACTAAGTGTAAATGTTGTAACTTAAGCTTGGTAGTTACTTCGCTAATCTGTTAATATGCAGTGACATCATCAAATAGACTGTTCACTTGACAATGAGCGAAGATCAACTTTATTTATTTCTAATATGCCGTTGAATCATAGGATGTTATCTAATAACCATCATTCCTATGACCAGCAACTGCGGTATTCGCATGTCTACTTTATAGATATTAAGTAACCTACGCCTGTATGCATCTAATTACCTCCAGTATTCCCTATTCATTTGGCGTGTGTACACTAAACAAGTTATTCATGAATTCTCCCAAAAATGCTCCATTCTTATTTATCAGGGAGAAAGCAGTATACTATAGGTCAGGGGGAAGTCCTCCATTACCAATTGCATTTTTGTTTGACGAACTTAATGCACGAAAGCATACGAGAAGAACTTTTTCAAGCACGCGGACGATCTAACTATTTCAATGTCTGTTAACTGCCAGCTACAATGTACTAAGATGAACAGCTCTCTATTAGGAGTCAGAAAATGCTCTTAAACTAAATTCTTCGAAATGTCAGACTGTTATTCTCAGTTTCCGATGTTAACGAAAGTTAGATGAAGGTGTTAATTCCTAATACCGTTGCAAAATTGGTAATAGTGATATGGAAATCAAGTCTAACTTTAAGCATCTTGGACTAATTCATCACAGCGTATTGCCCCAAAATGTATGCCACATGCAGGCACAATGTTTATGAGCTAGGTATGCAAATCATGGTAAACGCTTGTAGGGTACATTCATTATTTATCAAACTAACTCGTACGTAAGAACTATGGTTTGATCAGGTAAAGTAATAATAGTAATTTTTCCTTCACGTTCCCAATGGAACATAGGGCTCCAAGCTAGTGGCTTGAAGTTTCTGTAGCAGTGTTTAATTTTTACAGGATGGGGTTGCTAGCCTCATGCCCAACCTTTCCCATTTACCAGCATTATTTCTGGCTCAGTGAGGTAAAGTAGTGCGCCGGCCGGGGCTCGAACCCCGGACCATATGCATGGTTAGCGAGCGTTTTAACCGCTATACCACCGATGCACTTCGGGGAAACCACCGATCGTAGATTACAACCCAAGACGTCATTCTTCCTAATTAATGTCTTACCTTTAACTGGGATTGTTCGTACACTCACCAGATCATCGTATTTTATCCGCCTTGAAAACCGTTTGGCAACACATCGAATGGATGTTAACACTGGCTCCATTACGAGCAGTCCCAGTTCATGTATTTGGATCTAGCACATAAAGCAACAATAAGCATAAGAAACACTTACCCTTAAGAATTCCAGTTTCTTTTAGTTCCCCAAAATACACACAAGCACAACAGATTCATACTTCTCATGTGGCTCAACCTTGCTGGACTTAGATTCTCTCACAATATATTTTTTTAAATGATAGCAGACACTCTGATGGTATATTCACATTCTCAAAAAGCCTCAAAGCTTTTTCAACTTCAACCCAGGTTCTAAATTCTCCAGGTTCAATTTGTTCTTCAAAAACCTTGCTAATATAAACTCTGATGGTGCTCTCTTTAACCGGTTCACTCGCAGATTGTTGCATGCTGCAAACATGAACGAGAAAGACACATTTTTCCAGATTTCTACATTTGATGTAGGTAACTGAGCCAACAATAATAACGGTAACCAACTGATGGACAGGAAACAACAGCTTCTGCCACAAAAGCATGTTCATATGCATAATTTCCAAAACTTCTACACAGTACCAATTCATTAACAGCTGAAAACCAACTAAAACACTGAAAGCCGCAAGAATGCAAGGTATGAAACAATTACACCGAAATGAATGCACTGACCTGGCAGTGAAAACTTTCGAAACCAAAGAAATAATTCATTTGAACAGCGACGGAAACAAAAAATGAGGTGGAACGCAACATTTGTGAACAATACGCAACAAGATAAGTCGTGTATAACGGCGGCATAAACGGAACAACAAACGCGTACACGAACAGCTACGGAATTGCAATCCAACATGGCCGACTAGCATGGACGAAAATGACCTCCGATCGTCTCACTCCACCAATGACCTTGATAAATTACGGATAATTTCAGCCCAAATATTGCGGTAGGCTCTGAAAAGAATTAGTGCTAATATATGTAGCTGATTAACACTTTTTTGTGGTTTTCGCGCTTAAGGACATCGGTGACTGCTTTGACAAAGGGAGGAAGGAATGCATTAAAAGGCGGCCTGCTTAAATCTTTGGGTCACCAAAATTACTTTCCTCCAAAATGCTTAATTTCATCTGGATTTATCATCTTTTATTCGTCCAGTTATATCAAATGACCTATACATAAACTTACGCAATGATTTAACTTGCTCCCATGAACGCTGTACAATTTTTCAAAGAAATGATGATATACTTCAGATTATTACTTTATGTGAGTCCTGTGTGAAGATTAAAGTACTTTGGAAATGAATACGCCGAAAAATTTTGTACCGTATATTCGCATAGTGTCTTAAATAAAGCTTTATTATTATTATTAAGCATAATTACAAGAGTGTTCAAGAATCTGCGAAATACAGTTAGCATATTCATATATTTCTGAGGCAAAACAGAGTCAGAAAGTATATTTGGTAATCTGCTTCAGAATTCACGCACAAAATAAAAGAAATCAGGAGGAATCTCTCGACCTGAAATAGATGAAAAGAACATTTACTTGAATTACTGTATTATGTATGATTCATTCAGTATATACATTTGGTTTGTGAATAAAGTTTGATACCATTTTCTCTACACTGAGCGAATTTTTCCGGTTGTTGTACTTTTGAAAAGGGGAAATTTCGCCCCAAATATGGAACGAACCGTCAATTGAGTAACTTTTACATATAAAACGGTGAAAATATAACAACCACAAAAAGTTAACCTTGGTTAGGGGGAGTTTACCTTAAAATGAGCAACCATCATAAAGAGCAAGAGTGGGGTAATATTTGCTAATGAGCTGTAATCATACATATCTGTTGCGATTTATGTACTCCTCGTCGATGCCACTAAACTGAAATTCCGAATGAAACCGGGGTCTTTCTAACTAGTTTCTCTTCGCTAGCATTATTCTCCAGGCAGTAACTTTTATATGAAACGAAATTTCGTATAGGTCTAGCTGCATAACGCCTTTATACTTGTGAAAATTTGAGGTAGTTTTCTTGGTACTGCAGT